TCACAATTTTAATGATACATAACTGGCATATTTAAAAATCTGTGCATTTCTTTAGGGAAGGGAACTGCAGCTCTCTGGTCGCCCCGCAACGTATACCACGACCAAGAGAGCTGCATAAACTGCAGCAATCGCTGTTGCATCATTGACACCCTTATGCACATATGCTGGCCGAGTACGGTCACTGGCCGTGATCGGTCATTGGCCGAGTAGAAATCTGGCCGAGTTCGGTGGTCACCGACAAATTTACCCAAATTTAAATGGGGAAAAGAATTTAGCACTAACGAAGGGTTAAAATAATAAATGGTTAGACAAATAGAGAAATAGTTTGACAAAACTATTCACTCTATTAACCAGCTAGTGTCAACTATTGGTCATTGACCTCTCACAAGAAATATTTGTAAGTACACTATTGTGAGTGTCGACTACTACGTGCAAAGTACAGTCGCACCCAATAAACGAAATAATTTACCACATCCTTTGCGACCACTATGTATGACGTCACAGTTGTAGTGTGTCATTCTTGTCGAATAGTTTGAAATAAACGCTAAAATGCACGAGTGAAGAATGTTATGTACGAACGTTGAATATCCAGGACATTGCCGGTTTGTTACGTAACTTAATTTCAACACAAGGCACGCCCACCCAACCGATTTAAGTTTTTGACCCGTCTTCAAGATTAGCTTATCAAAATAAAAATAAATAAAACAAAATGAAACAAAAGTGTTACCAGCCTTGTCGGCCATCTCCTTCGTATATTATTATCACTATGCGCAAATGTACGTAACGAACAACATGATTTGCGCAGCTCAGCTGACTGACAACTTACTCGATTTGATCACCGATACAGCTTCTTCAACGGTTTGCCATCTAGGGACGCGATTTGGTAGCGGATAAAACGGTTCGTGCGCATAATCGTAAAAGAATCTGTGTTTCTGCTGAGACAATGCACCAGACACCCGCTGTATATTCTTCAACGGTTTCAAAAAAGCTCTCGTCAAATTAGCTGCCATCGTTAACACCACAGAAACAGCAGCGGAGATACCTCTTCTTGCTTGACAATCCTAGATTTAAACTCTCGCGTGATAACGAAAATAATCCCAGAGAGCGAGAAGTTAGCTTTTCAAATGTCAAAGTTCATCGTACATGCGTTTTTGCGCACCGTGTATTTTCCGCGGAAATTTGATCACGTTGAGAAGTTTTCGGGATAAGAACAAAAAATGTAAGTATCCAGTGACCAGTAGAGCAATATTGTATATCTATATTTCGTATATATTAATATTGATTGTATATTGATGTGCGGAGATCGCGACAAATTCCACAGTTGTTTAAAAAACAGTTAGAAATGACAAGCATGCATCGTCCTCGAGATTTTGTCGCCATAACTTCGATTCTCGTTGATTGACGCCGTGTGGGTTTAAAATGTAATACAAGTTTGATTCGTACTGAAACAAACTTAAGTCTCGAAAATTAACACATTACACACGGTATAACGTAAAAGTTCATGAAAATCAATAAAAACACGGGTGCATTTGAAACCATGGACGTACTCACAGTGAGAATCACATGATATCCAAACACTCAATAGGTACTGTTAGAATCCAGTTTATGACTTCTTGTTTAGTGGGGGAGGGGAGCGGGGTGCTCCTAAACCCAAATTCATGATGGCACCGGCATA